GAAAAAGCTACCAAAATGGAATAATTGAAAAATAATATAATTGCATAGACTACTTCCTATACGTTGCTAATCCATAGTAGTCTTCCTTAAGAGCCACTCGAACTGAAGCTAGGAGAGTATCTAGAGAGTGAAAAGTAGCTTGGCCTTCATGACCATAAGCATGTTACGCAAGTCTATCAGCTGTGTAATTGCCTCCATGCATGTATGTATAACTTTTGTACACCCCGTTATGTGTTTACATTTTTGTAGTAGGTATATTAAAGGCCAAGGAACTGTCGATATACCATTGATAGCATCAACCACAATTTTGAGTCCAACTCAATATAGTGAATAATCAAGTTAAACCTCGTACACCATTCAATTCCCTCCAATACCGCACTTATCTCTCCCTTCTTGTTTGAACCCTCTCCAAAATAAGAAGAGAAGGTGAAAACGAAGTTGCCATTCCCGTCCCTAACCACCCCTCCTCCAGTACATACTCCTTCCCTTGCTGACCCATCACAATTTAGTTTTAACATGTTCATTGGTGGAGGAGACCAAGCAATCCATTTACCTCTTTGTATCGTTAGAGAGAGTAGGGGAATATGTAAGGCTTGGATGCAAAGAACATCATGATAACCAAGCTTAGGAAGGGGAGTGAACAGAGGCTAAATATCAACTATCCATCTCTTCACTTTGAATATGATCACTGCTGCAGACATCTCTATCCCATCAAAGAGAGAAACTTCTTATAATGTGCAATAGATATTGGAACGCCTCTTGAATAAAGGGATGCCCAAATATCTGGTGGGAGGTTTCATATGTCCTAAACATGTCCATCTCTATAGGAGTCTAATCCTATTTAGGGGCATTATGCTGCTGCAAAGGAAGCCATTTTTGCTAGTATTAATCAGTTGACCACTACCTTCACAATATTTGTTAAGTGTGCCCATCAACTTATCTACTGATCGTTTTGATCCACTACTGAAAAGCAGCATATCATCTGCAAAAAACAAATGGTTAACATTTATAGTGTTCCATCCTGCACGATAGGGAATGAGTCGCCCCTACTCAACTTTCAGATTAAGATTTCTACTTAAAACATACTGAGCAATGATAAACAAGGCTGGTGATAGAGGATCCCCTTGATGAACATCTCGTTTCCATTTAAAAAAGCCATAAGAACCACCATTAAGAATCACAGAGTACTAACAGTTATTAAGACATTAAAGTATCAGAGAGCACCAGTCTGCAGAGAAACCGTACTTTAACATGGTTTTAATCAGAAAAGACCATTCTAAACGATCATAAGCCTTTGCCATATCCACTTTTCAAAACCAAATTCCCTCCCTTTGTTTTCCAATAAATTTCCTGGAAGAGCTCATGAGCTAGTGCTACATTTTCCTATATCAGTCTTTCTTTTACAAAACCACTCTGTTCTTCTAAAATGATACATGGTAACACTGTGCCCATTCGTTGAGTTAATATCTTACAAGATTATTGCAGAGACCAACCATTTATTATTATAAAATCCTGATTTTATCATTGATTGATCGATACATCAAATTATATATAATTCAGTGGGAAAAAATTGTTTATAAAACATTTTTTTCCGAAAAAAACATATCTTCACAACTTGGTTTTCAATCTTTTGAAAACTTTTTTTTTTATTCATGAGATGTCTTTAAATTAACTTGCATGCCAATTAATATTAAATTTTCTTTTTAACAATCTTAAAAATACATACCTACATAGATTTAGCGTATTAGAAAAAACTATTTTTTAAAATAATTACTAACATACTCATCTGGATTATAATCAATTACTTTCAAATCACATAAAACACGTTTTACAAATATTAAAAGTCATATTTTATGCAGTAAGAAAAAAAATTAAAAACTAAAACAATATTTTTGGATTAATTTTTACTTAATAAATAACTTTTTTTATTTGTATTATGCAACAGATTTCATGTGTCAATGAAAATAGCTATTTAAATTATATTATATTTATATTTATTTTTTAGAAAGTCCGATGTAATGTTTTAATTCTTGTTTCTATATTTTTATTTAAATTATTTTTTGAAAAATATTGTTTTATCGTGATAAAATTCAAGTTTTCGAGTAATTTATTTATTTTTGTAGGAAATCTTAACTATAATAGTAATTTTAATTCAAATAGTATAATAATAAATTATTAAACCATTAAGTAATTATAAAACAAACTAAAACAAAACGAATGGTTACTCTTCCAAACACTGTTCACACACTCATATTTTACTATTTACACACTCACAAATCATTATTTCTTTCACTATCCATGACTTTTTTTTTACACTTTGGTTCTTAATTTTTTTAATATTTTTTTCAATTTCAAACTTTAATTGTATTGTAATTTAGTCCTTTTTTTTAGTGTTTTGTGTTAATTATTATTATTTAAGATTTACTACTTTAATTTGTCATTTTTTTTAAATTCTCATCCAATTAATTTAAAATTAAATGGTCCTCAAATTTTCTCTATATTTTTGTTTTAATTTCAAACTTTAATTGTATTGTCATTTAGTCTCATTTTGTTTTAGTGTTTTTTGTTGATTATTTTTATTATTTAAAATTTACTACTTTAATTTATCTTCTTTTTTTTTTCAAATTCTCATCCAATTAATTTAAAATTACATTTAATGACGAGTTTTGATTTATTTTAAAATTATTCATTCTTTTATAAATAAATATATAAAAATTAAATTCATATCTTTTTTCAAAAATTGATATTCTCATCAACATTAAATAAAAATAAAAAAATTATTTTTTCAATTCTATCCGAGCTTTTAATAATTGTTATTTTTGTTTTTTGACACAATTTTATGAAATATTATATCTTTATAAAAAAAAATTATTTTATTTGTATTTTATTTAAATTCTCATCCAATTAATGTAAAATTATATGGTCCTCAATTTTTCTATACACTTTAAAAAAAAAATTCAAACTTTAATCGTATTATGATTTGATCCCATTTTGTTTTAGTATTTTTTATTAATTATTTTTATTATTTAAAATTTATTACTTTAATTTGTCATTTCTTTTAAATTCTCATCCAATTAATTTTAAATTATATTTATCGATAGTTTTTATTTATTTTAATATTATTCATTCTTTTGTAAATAAATATATAAAAATTAAATTCATATTTTTTTCAAAAATCAATATTCTCATCAACATGAAATAAAAATAAAAAAAATTATTTGTTCAATTTTATGTAACCTTTTAATAATTGTTATTTTTGTTTTTCGACATAATCTTATGAAATACTAAAGCTTAAAAAAAAAAATTAATTTTGTTTAGTTAATAACCCATGAATTAATATGTATAAATCCTTTTTCTAAAAAAAAATATGAAAAACATAAATAATAAATAGTTAAATATAAAATTTTTGATTAAAAAATTATAAATATTTTTTTCATATTTAATTTTATATATTTTTATAGATTCATACCATAAAACAGATTATCAAACTAAAATAATTTTTCTAAATAATTTTATATATTTTACTTAACTAGTTGCGTAATCCTGACAAAAAGTCTAGTTTTAGTTCTAATATAATATAATATTTTATAACTAAACAATTTTATATATTTAATCTTCCAAGAAAACACAGCATAACAAACCAGCAAACCTTTTCCTGGATCGCAGAGAATTTATTAATCAAGGGTATTTGCGTCAAATCAGGTAAAATCAAATAAAAGATAAACGACTTTTAGCGGAATTAAACTAAGGACAAAATCGACATTTCAAAAACGATTAAAATAATAATTAACGCCAAGCTTAAGAATCCATCCGTTGCAAGCAACAAGCGGGCAGCGTCTTTTGTTCGTTAAGAAACAGAAAGAAAGAGAAGAAAAGGAAGCAGAGACTCTTTCCACAGAGAGAAATTGATAGGTTTCTAGAGAAAGAAAGCGAGAGCAAACAACCTCGAGTGAGCTCAGTTACACCAAAACAGGGTATGTCGTTACTCTTCAGTTTCAATATTTGTTGATGTATGTTCTTTTTGACATTAATATTGATTTTCATATTCTTGGTTTTGAAATTTGGTTTTTGTTTTCATTGTTGATGTTTTTTTCCTGGTAAGGAGAGAGTGGTCAGAAGTTGATTTTGAAAAATGGTTTTTGTTGAAATGCAAAATTATTCTCAAAGAAAACTTGGGTTTGTCTCTGATTGTTGAATAGTTTATTGATTTTGTTTTTGGTTGTTGTGTATCGGGACTTTTTTTTCCTAGATTCGATCTGTTAAAAATCTAGTGGATTTATAGACTATCAAGTCTTGCAGAAGGAAAGCTTTAAAATTTTCCTGAGAGAAAGAAAGTCTCTTCTAGTTTGAATTTTTCGTTTTGTTGTCTTCTTCAATACGGGTTTTAGTTTACCTAACTTTAAAAATATTTTTTGGACTTATGTGTAACAGTAATTTTGAAAATGGGAGATATTAGTAGCTTTGAGAGAGTTTCAGGGATTTTTTATGTTCTATTTTTCGAATATTAATTGACAGAGTTTGAGAGGTTTTTTGTTTTTTAATAGAATTCCTCCTCTGCTCAATTGATGTAAATTTGATTTATTTTTTTTATTTTTTATTTTTTGTTGATTAAGTTGTGTCAACTGAGTTCCTTCATTTGATTTGCTGTGAGTTATCTTAAGCCTGCGGTAGACCGAAATAAATTCTGCAATTTTGTAATTCGTCATATAATTAGTTATAGTGTAAAAACATGAAAATATAGTCATTTGTTTGGGGTTCAAGCATGTATGCAGTCTGTATAAGTTCCTGATCTTCTATTTTATAATAGTCACTTCGAATTCTATAAAAGAGTAGTTCTAGACTTGAGTGTTTTTCGTCTTTTGCTGTTTTTACTAAGGTATCATTGTAAACTCAAATTAAACATTGTAGTTTATTTGTTTTGCAGCGTGCTGCTTTTGGTCTAAGAGAGGAAGTTGAATCCCCATCTCCTCTTCATTCCTTTAAGAGTTAAGAATCCCTACATGGCTCCATTTTTCGAAGCAGCAGAAAGAAACCAAAATAAGCCCCCTATTGGTATTCGTTTCATAGAGTGCATAAAGAAGAAAAGGCTTTCCTACAGAACCCACCAAGCCATTGTCTTGATTATAACATTTTTGGCATACACAAGCTACCATGCTGCTCGAAAAACTACGAGCATTGTCAAGAGCACCCTTGATCCACAATCATCTGAGGTGGGGTTAAAGTTCCTCCCTTGGAGGATTACTCACTCAAGTGAACCGGTTGAAAAAAAAAGACTTTCATTGATACTTGGAGATGGTTGGGCTCCATTTAATGCCTCAGATGGGACAGCCTTGCTTGGAGAACTCGACTTGGCTTTTCTTGCTGTATACGCCTTAGGAATGTACTTTTCAGGGCACCTGGGTGATAGGATGAATTTAAGGATCTTTTTGACAATAGGAATGGTTGGAAGTGGTATATTTACTTCATTATTTGGTGTTGGATTTTGGGCAAATGTGCATAACTTTTACTATTTCTTGATAGTACAAATGCTTGCTGGCTTGTTCCAGTCAACTGGATGGCCTTCAGTGGTTGCAGTAGTTGGTAACTGGTTTGGGAAGAAGAAGAGAGGGCTAATCATGGGTATATGGAATGCCCACACTTCTGTTGGGAATATTTCAGGCTCTTTGATTGCTTCTGCAATGTTGAGCTATGGATGGGGCTGGTCCTTTGTTTTGCCTGGTCTCCTTATTGCTTTTGTAGGCTTGCTTGTGTTTCTATTCCTTCCTGTTAGTCCCGAGGCTGTTGGAGCTGTCATAGATGAAGATGAATTGGATTCTCCAAATAAAACTGGGGAGGAAGTTACAGAGCCTCTTTTGGCATCTGAATCTGATGTTGAACAGGAAGCTGTAGGGTTCATTGAAGCATGGAAAATACCTGGAGTTGCTCCATTTGCTCTGTGCCTATTTTTTGCCAAACTGGTGGCCTACACTTTCCTATACTGGCTTCCTTTCTACATTAGCCACACTGGTAATTAATTTAGGCTTCTTGGCTTTTTCAAGTTCGAGGTCAACTTGAATTTTCATAGCATTCTTTAATGTGCTCATAAAATGAAGGGAGAAAATGAGATCCATTGGTTTCATGAGTTCTCTATGACTGGTCGAAACTCTTGACATCGTAATAGGAATGTGAAGTCACACTCACTTTATACTCAATTCATAAATTTAGATCTTAAATATAGGTATTTGTCATTTTGTAACTGGTGAAATATGTTCTTTTGCTGCTTTTTCGCATACTAGGATCAATGTTGAGGTCTCATTTATTCTCATCAATCTTGCAGCCATTGACGGAAAGTACTTATCTGATGGAGCTGCGGGAAACTTGTCAACATTGTTTGATGTTGGAGGGGTGGTTGGGGGAATTTTAGCTGGGCACATTTCAGATCGCCTAGATGCCAGAGCAATTACAGCAGCAAGTTTCATGTACTGTGCCATCCCTGCTCTCTTCTTCTACCGGAGCTATGGACACGTTTCCTTGGTTCTAAATATTGCTCTTATGTTCATCACTGGCATGTTTGTGAACGGGCCTTATGCTCTTATAACAACAGCTGTCTCTGCTGACTTGGGAACTCACAGTTGCTTGAAAGGGAACTCAAGGGCATTGGCAACTGTTACGGCAATCATAGATGGAACAGGCTCGGTTGGAGCTGCAATTGGACCTTTATTAACTGGTTACATTTCTGCTAAGAGCTGGAGTGCAGTTTTCACAATGTTAATGGCTGCAGCTCTAGTTGCAGGTCTGCTATTGACGAAACTTGTTATGGCAGAAGTGGCTGCCAAGATTGCTGAATCAAGGTCTCAAGGATCTCTTACGTCAAGAGCACCAGCAGCGGCACTTCTTGTGTGATTTATGGACGGAGCTGACTGGTTATATATATATTTGCTAGTGTGATTGATAACAGAGTGTTTTACGAGCTCTGCTGATTAAAGGGCCGAGGAAAAATCCTCTTATACGGATGAAGATGGGAGAGGATGTTTTTAAACCTTCTCCATGATTTAGTTTGATAGGGAGCAAGGTAGGAGGAAGAAATGGAGGGAGGAGAGGGTCTGTCCTATACTCCTACTGTTGTTTGTGTATATGTACATTTTTTCATATGTTATATATCAATTTAAGCAAATAGCAGCACCACCCAGAAGGAAACTTCTTAAGATCAGCTAGGATTAGGCTTTTTATCAGGGAGAATGACCAAAATCATTTTCCGTTGTTACAAATCCTGTATCCATACGGAACTAAGGAGGCAAAGGGATGGGGTGGCCGAACAATGGATTCCAGCTCCTTCCCAAGAGAAGGACGAGCAAACCATGGGTTTTTAAATAGCTAGGAGAGTTCAAAATAATCTGTGAACTTTATAATCGATTTTGCGTGCAAGGACAATCCTATTTTATCAAATGACATCAATTATGTACATAGTAATTAAATACAAAATAAATTTTGAATGGATAACTTATGAAAAGATACTAATTACTCGATAAACATGAACGATATTTGACGTCATGTTATTATTATTTGAATTCACATTTATTATTGTTAAATTATATATATATATATATATATATATGTGTGTGTGTGTGTCTTTTTTTACGTTTTCCTTTTCACCTTGATATACACTGTGGAATTGAAACATTCACAAGAAAAAGAAAGTTTTCAATGGCTTTTCTTTTCGATTTTGAACCCTGGATGACAAGGTTGGAAACATACTAGCTTACCGCTCCAACTAGCCACGCCTCAAGTGTGATGAACTTGTAGAGGTCGGCTGGCTACAGTACTCTTGTGGCCCGGCGACGAAAGAAGTATGATAGGTGCAATAGGCAATCAAATTAACCTAAGCCGTGGAAAATGTGCTTGATTTTAGGGAAAAGAAGGTCACGAACGGGAAAGGTTGGTATTGGGCAACTTGCATTTTGGTGCGTGCCAATTGGGCAAGAATTGCTGTCCCCCAACCTTTTTAAGCCTCTTCCTAGCTAGGTATGATCAAGCAAGCACTGGCCAGTAGCAAGAAAGGTTTTAAGGTGAAATCGGGTGTAAAAAGTATGGTTTTACGTGTGAAAAAATAAAAGGTCCAATTTCAGCTGCAAATAAATGATTCTGAACTGTGCCTAAAATACAGCACAGGTAAATTATGGTTTTAAGAAAATTCCAAATATGTTTCAAAAAATCCAAGTTTTAAAATCAATTAAAAACTATGTCTAATATGACGTTTATCTAACTCAATAAGTGATGAATTTAATTTTAATTGATGCAAAGATTGATTTAAAAATACTACATTACTTACAAATATAAAAAAATTAAAAACAATGATCATACATAAAAATATTTTATCACTTTTGATATGTCTAAATATAATAATTAAAAATAATAATTAAAAAAATATTTTTATAATTTTTGATAAAAATAATTCTTTGTATAAGCCTCTCCTATAAATTAAGAGTTATTAATTACTTTTGAATTCATATAAAATTTCTACTAAACAATTTTTTTGTTTTTTTCTACTAAAAAACGAAAGAAAGCGAACGCGCTAGCCCAGGTAAAACAAAGATTTGGATGATGGGCAAAAGGTGCCAAGTTGGCAAGTTTTCCACAGAGAGGACGGTGGAGTGGCACTTTTTAAAAGATTCGATGACTCGAATCTGACGATGCCAATTGTCAAATTGAGTATTCTTGTCTGTGAACTGCCGCCACTATATTTAAAACATATAGCTGTCACTTTATAAATTATAAATAAAACTAAGAGATAATAATGATCGCTTTATTTTCTTTTTACTGCAGCGCTTCACTTAAAATGACTATAATCACTCATTTGCACGGTTGGCCAAAAAATTGTATCTTGGTCCTTATTTTTTGAAATGCCTTTTCTTTCAATCTAGAATTTTATTTTTCTTTCATTTTGATCTCTACATACTAAAAACAGAGAGAAATGAGAGAAAGAAAGATGACCAGATCCATTTCAGCCACTCTGATTATCAAACTTACCACCAATTTATTTTTTCAAAGAATAAAATTTGTTTGTAAAGGTTATAAACTATGAAATGGTCGAAGAAAATAGATTGAAATCTAAAAATATTTTTAATTTTTTTATTATTTTTGTTTACGTTGTTATTGTGATTTTTTTTTTTTTTTTTTTTTGAAAAAAATAGAGAGCTGGATTTGGTTTTGGCAAGTCGAATATCAAGAAACCTGACTTTTTGTCCACATTTCCGGCAAAATTGAGTTTACAGAGGTGACCGGAATTTAATTTAATTTAATGTATTTATTTTTTATCCTAACCTTCACGGATAGGTCCTCCAGACCCATGCCTAGGGTGCAGGCCAGGTGCTCCAGGCCCAAGCCCGCACTCCTGGTCCTCCAAACTTATGCGCACAGGCCATGTGCTCTACGACCAAGCATGGGTCGAGTGCTTCAGGCCTAAATGCTCGGGCCTAGACCTTTTTTTTTTTTTTTTAATTAAGAATTTTTAAGCAAATGTCATGGAATATCAAGCGTTATTATTTTTATTTTACACCCAAAATTATGACGATAAAATGCATATAATATTTTTTATATTTTAAAATTAACATATATTTTAGATTATAATATTCTTATTATTTAAATTTTATTTTTTCAATTTGTCATTTCTTATGAAAATTCTCATAAAATTAATTTTTTATTTAAAAAAATTATTTATTGATAAATATAATTTTTTCTTTATATTTGGATTTCGAAATAAAAATTTAAAACATGATTGTTTCTCTTTTTTTAAAAAAAATAATAAATTGATTATAATATATATCATGAATTCTTAAAGTTTTTAAATCACAGTGACCAAATATATAATTATTTTAATCTAAAAAATTAAAAATATATTTCAGATAATTTATCTCATTTCACTAAATATGGCATGACCTATAAAAAAAAATTAATTAATTCATCAAATTAACCATACATCTTTAAACATACTACCACTATTTGCTATGACTATTTTTTAACATTATAGAATCAATTTCTTTAAAAGAAATATTTAAAAAAAAAAAACACACACAATGATTCAAATACAGTTTTGTATATTAAATTATTGATTATTTTGTAAACAAATGTATATAAATAAAATGCATATACATTTAGAAAATAATCTTCTCATCAACATTAAATAAGAATAAAATTTTATTTTATTATTTTTTTATTTTTATACAAGTCTATTAATTATAACTTTATTTTTTAGATACAATTTTATGGGGAAAAAAAAAGGATAAAAGATATGATTGATGAGAAAAGAAGATCATTGATTTAACAGTAAAAGGTTTCTTAATTTCTTTTTTTTTCTTTTTGTTGCTTTTATTATTATTATTATTTTTTTTGTTAATAATCAGGAAGTATCCTTAAATGAGATCCAAGGAATGAAAATGAGTTTCATTTTTTAATTGGGTTTAGATTTTTTTTTTTTTAATATGATTATTTTCACTATTCAGTAACATTACTAAAATCGGACAGGACAGAGTATTATGGGACTGAAAGGATGGATGACCATTTTTTGTTGATGGAAATCTTTGTTTCTCAATCATTGTTTTAGTTTGAGATTTGAAACATTTGTCAAATAGGGTAATTGCTAGTCTGAGATTTGGTGCAGGTCCATAAGGAATTGCTTGCTTTGTATGAGGGAAATTCAGTTAATTCACAACCCATTATGCGGCTGGCTCTTATATATATATATATATATATATATATATATATAATTTAATTAGTAAGTCGCTTTTCAATCTCGTTGTCCAAGTGATTTGTTTTGAGATCGAGATTGAGAGCATCTGAATTACATTTTTGATACGCTTCTTCATCTCCTAAAGAATGTCTGTCGGCTTGGCGTTTTATATTAAAATGTTTTGTCAGGTCTTTAATCTATAACTTTTCAAGAAAACGTTCGCATCTATTTTATTTAAGTTATTCTGATAGAAATTTCTCAGTGTATTTTGTACTAAGATTATTATGCCGATTTTAGGAGAATGTTATTTCGATGGCCATAATTACGAACTTGTGCTGATCATATGGCTAAGATTTGAGCTCTTCAATTTGATCACCAGTTCACCACTCACCAGTTTTAATCAAAACAAAACCATATACAGCTAGAAGCCCATTTCCAAAATCCAAACACTCACCTCTGCCAACCCAAGACTTGCCTAGTCAATTGTCTCAAACACATCTAATACCAGTAATTGTCTCAAACACATCAAATAGAACCAGCAAAACGGAAAAGAAAAGGTGATGTATGCAACTTGGATGTATTATTTAATATCTGGGTTTGGTAGTTGTACTCCCAATAGAGTTTGAAGAGCAGTCTTCCATTTTATGTTCATCATATGTACTACGATCCTATGACAGAATAGATAGCTAGGATACTCTTCACTGTTCGACCAAAATGAACCTAAGCAAAGTAGAACATCTGGAAATGCAAACCCAAGTTAAGTAGTCTGAAGTCCAAACATGAGGCTACATCACAGTCAATGAGACTGCCTAAGGCAACCTGTTATTGTAATTTAACGTATGAAAATGTTCAAAACAAATGAAAACATCCCAAAAAAAAAAAAAATGCACCACTAGTATATTCATTCGTGAGCACAAACAACAGAAAAGATGCAGATTTTACAGTGAGTATGTAATTAAAATCATATGCTTATGCTAATCTAGAAAGGCCAAAAACATATGCATTGTACTAGGAAATGATCATGACCAGGATCAACAACTTCTAAATCCCTCTCGCAAAAGACACAAAATACCCAACTTCAACCCCCAAGGTGAGAAACAATTATATGAAGATCATATTTTGTGTCAAGATGAGGCCTCAGATGCGGTCAAAACACTGTCAAGGTGTTAATATGGAA